TTATATTAGGGTCTGTACGACGTGCACCTACAAAGGCATTGTTTGTCACAAGCCACTATCATATTCAAATTCGAAACTTGAAATAAACGGTGAATTATCTAGCTAAAATCATCAAAATATCGTACACAGGGAGGTACCGTTATGTCGGAGCTATACGAAGACCTAGACGTGCATAGACAATTTTCTAACACAGGCTGTAGCATCCATTACCAACTTTAAATACGACATCTCAAACAATTTCGCTGAGTATTGTACCTAAAATGGTCAAAATACCGAATATAGGGAGGTACTGATATATGGGGCCTATACGAAGACCTCGACCTGCATAGACAATTTTCTGTCACAGACTGTAGTTAGCATTACGAACTTCAAATGCCAAATTTGAAACAATTCTGGTGAATAATGACGCTAAACTCATCAAAATACCGAATATAGGGAGGTACCGTTATATGGGGGCTATACAAAGACGTGAACCTGCACAGACAATTTTCTGTTTCAGGCTGTAGTATCCATTTCGAATTTCAAATACCAAATTTGAAACAATTCCGTTGAATAATGTTGCTAAAATCATCAAAATACCGAATATAGGGGGGTACCGTTGTATGGGGGGCTATACAAAGACGTAGACCTGCACAGACAATTTTCTGTCTCAGGCTGTAGTATCCATTTCGAATTTCAAATGCCAAATTTGAAACAATTCCGGTGATTAATGTCGCTAAAATCATCAAATATCGGGAGGTACCGTTATATGGGGGCTATATGAAAACGTGGACCTACATGGCCCATTTACGAACTTATCCTGCCTACCCGCCAAATAAACATGTGTGCAAAATTTTAGCCTTCTATCTCGATTCGTTCGAAAGATTACAACAGACAGACATACGGATAGACACACAGACAGACAGATAAACAGACAGACAGATAAACAGACAGACAGATAAACAGACAGACAGACGGACATGGCTAAATCGTCTTAGAATTTTACGCTGATCAAGAATGTATATACTTTGTTGGGTCCGACATGAGTATTTCGAGGAGTTACAAACGGAATGACAGAATTAATATACCATCCATAGTATGGTGGAGGGTATAAACAATGTATATCGTATATACGTACGTCCCGAAAGTCACTCCCTTTGGGCTGATATTAGCTATTATTTGCACAATAAACCTAAAATGAATATATATCTAAGCTATGAATATATATGGGAGCTATATCCAAATCTTAACCGTTCTCGATCAAATTTGGCAAAGGTATTTCCGAGCTTTATAAGATATCTGGTACCAAATATCATTGTTGTCGAAGTCATATTACGCATGTAAGGTACTTAAAACCTCAAATCGGATGAAACACATATATATGGGAGCCTTAGCTATATCTGAACCGATTTTCTTTGATGTATTTGCTTCTAGACTGAATTCGGTCGGATGTATCGAAATTCAGGTCATTATGACTTATATAGGTCTTTTGGTGCACAATTAACCTGAAATCGGTCGACGATATATATGGAATCTTAATAAAATTTGGCTAAATTTCTGTAAGTTATCTGCTACCGAATATCATTCTTCTGGTGTGCATATTACGCATGTAAGGTACTTAAAACCCCAAATCGGATGAAACATATATATGGGAGCTATAGCTATACCTGAATCGATTTTCTTTGACGCACTTGCTTCTAAATTGAATTCGGTCAGATGTACCAAAATTAAGGTCATTAGGATTTATATTAGTCATTTGGTGCACAATTAACCCGAAATCGGTTGAGGATATATATGGGAGCTATATCCAAATCTGATCCGATCTTGACAAAATTTGAAACACTTATTTAAGAGCTGTATCTGATATCTGGTACCAAAGTTGATTGTTGTGGGATGCATATTACGCTTGTGTGGGACTTTAAATCCCAAAGCAGATAAAATATATATATAGGAGCTATAGCCATATCTGAACCGATTTACACCCAATTTGAAGTACTGGTTTATAGGATGAATTCAGTCGTAAATGCTAAAACTCAGTCCATTTGGGCTGATATTAGCCATTTGGAGCACAATAAACCTGATATCGGATAAAGATATATATATATATGGGAGCTATATCCTAATCTGAACCGATCTCGACAAAATTTTGACAGGGGTATTTCCAAGCTGTATATGATGTCCGTTACCAAATATTATTCTTCTGGAGTGCATGTTACGCAGTAAGGGACTTAAAACCATAAATTGGATGAAACATATATATGGGCGCAATAGCTATATAGCTATGCTTCTAGGCTGAATTCGGTCGGATGTACCAGAATAGAGGTAATTTGGACTTAGATTAGCCATTTGGTGCAACCGAAATCGGTTGAAGATATATGAGAGCTATATCTAAATTTAAATGGATTATCGCCAATTTAAAGGGGTTTCGTCCTTGGACCAAACAAATATTGTTTGCAAAATTTTATCTCAATCAGATAATAAATGCGACCTGCGTTTTGTTCACAAGGATACATGGACGGGCGGACGGACTGACATGCGTAAATAGACTCAGATAGTGATTCTATGAATATCCTAAATAGAAATTATGAGTTTATCACGCTTCATTCTCCATGTTACAAAAAAAAAAGTAAAGAAAGTCGGGCGGGGCCGACTTTATGATACCCTACACCACTTTGCTAATTTAGTAGAGCTGCGCATAACAATTAAAAGTTTATATGGGAGAATTCAATCATACACGCTATGATTATAATTATAACTTAAAATTCAAAGGACTAAATATGCCGAAGCATTTGTATCTTTTTAATTCGAACTTGTATTGCCCATTTGATGCAAAATTAATTTGAAATCGGATAAAAATATATATGGGAGCTATATCCAAATATCTTTGCAAAGATATTTCTGAGCTGTATTTGATATATTTCCCTGAATATCGTTGCTACGGAGTGTATATTACAGCTGTGGGTAACAAATATAACAAATCGGATGAACAGTATATATGGGAGCTATAGCTATATCTGAACCGATCTTCACCAAATTTGACATACTAGCTTCTAGACCCAATTCGGTCGTAAGTGCCAAATTTCATCCAATTTGGGCAAATATTAGACGTTTGGTGCACAATCAAAGGTAAATCGGACGAAGTTATATATGGGAGCTATAGCTATATCTGAACCGATCTCGATACAATTTTGGAAATGTATTTCTGAGCTGTATTTGATATATTTCCCCAAATATTGTTGTTACAGAGTGCATATTACGGCTGCGGAGGACAAAAATAACAAATCGGATGAACAATATATATGGGAGCTATAGCTATAATTGAACCGATTTCGATCAAATTTGACATACTTATTTTCAAGTCCAATCTGATGGTACATGCAAAATTCCATACTATTCAGACTGATATTACACGTTTGGTGCACAATAAAAGGCAAATCGGACGAAGATATATATGGGAGCTATATCTAAATTTTGACCGATTATCTCCAATTTAAATAGGGTTCGTCCTTGGGCCAAACAAATGATTTGTGCAGAATTTCATCTGGATAGGGCAATAAATGCGAACTGTAATTTGTTTACAAAAATACATGGACAGACGGACGGACGGACATGCATAAATCGACTTAGAATGTGATTCTATGCAGATCATCAAAAGGAACTATGGGTCTATTTCGTTTCCTTTTGCCTGTTACAAACAAAGGCCACCTTGTGGTGTAGGGTATAAATACACAAAGTCATCAGCTGTGGTGGGCACACAGAGTTCTTGGAAGTTAATCGGTGTGCAGGGAAATTAGGTACGTAGTTCTTAAGAATGGAATAAAGTTAGTTAACACTTTTGGTATGCTTCAGAATTGACGAATATTTGTTTATACCCTTAGATTTACCGTTATAAGGAGTATATAATTTAATGGATAAAAATGAGTTTAGTCGAAATATCGTTTTAAAATCCATCATGATCAATTTCAGGTACCTCCCATATAACGGTACCTCCCGATATTCGGTATTTTGTTGATTTAGCGACATTGTTAATCGGAATGGTTTCCAATTTGATATTAGAAGTTCGTAGTGGATACTACAGCCTAAGACAGAAAATTGTCTATGCAGGTCCAAGTCTTCGTATAGCCCCCATATAACGGTACCTCCCGATATTCGGTATTTTGATGATTTTAGCGACATTATTCACCTGAATTATTTCAAATTTGGTATTAGAAGTTCCTAATAGATACTACAGCCCAACAAAGAAAATTGTCTGTGCACGTTTTGGTATATCCCCCATTTAATGGTACCTCCCTATATTCGGTATTTTGATGCGACATTATTCACCGATTTTTTTCAAGTTTCGCATTTGAATATTGTATTGGCTTATGATAAAAGCTGCTTATGCAGTTCCACGTTGTCGTATAGACCCTTATATTTAAAAGAATTTCTTAGGGATTTTATTTATTTTTTTTTTTTTGAAAATTGCAGAATTCGTTGCAAATGGTGGAGGGTATACCAAGCTTTTTTACAGAATTTTTACTTGTTTTTAATTAGAATTCTACAAAAATGTATTTCCTAAGTAATAATTGAATACCGCTTTCATGAAAAATCCGTTTCTCCAATATAGTTTGCAAGAAATGGCTATTTCTTTCTACTGAAATTACGCAAAGTACTTATTTTCCGAAAAAAAGAAAATCATAGTTTTTGGAGTTCGTTATGTCCAGATTTTTTTATATTTTCAAGTTTTCAGATTCTTTGGTGACAAAAAAAGTCATAGAGCTTGGGCGAACTTAATTGTATGTGTCTAATTTTAATAAGCTTTTTTGTAAAGCATACTTTATTTCTTATACTAAGCCCATATTTTTTGAACCTCCATCGGAAGAAACACGAAAGCAACCACAAAAGCATTGTCTAACCGAGTGATGTTGGCTCCACCCCTCATCCATTTTTCTTTCATTCTTTTCAAAATCAGCTGATGCTGATGCGATTAGGTTTCATCGGATTTCTCAGCAATTATATCAATCTACCAACAACAAATTCAATAAATATTTAAGCTCATTTTATTTGTTTAAAATTTTTACATTGGATTTCATTTAAATATAGTTTAAAATCTTGTCAGACTAACTGGCTGACAGACATTGATTTCCATTCATTTCCTGCTTCCTCGTACCATTCCATTCTCGCCTTGTTTGTCTTTGCATTATTGTTATTTCCTGGAATTACCCTTGTTCGGCTAATGTTTGCCACAGCCCGAGTTACGACATATGCCAAATTTGTAAATCACTTCGTGGTTGTATTCTTCATCCGGATTTAAAATGATCGATGGGAAGTTGGGCTGAAATGAGAAAATGGCAAAGAAGGATGGTTAAAGTCAATTGATTAGATTATTTGATGCCCAAGCCGCACACACACACACCAGCATATCAGCACCAACACATTGTCGCCAAGGGCAGAGTGGGGGTAGGAAATTTCCTTATGTTTGTTAGTGCCTTAAACATTAATGCCATGGCTGGATAATGTGCTATTCTCTGGCCTACTAGACCTTTGGCACAGCCCCTCATCCGTTGCCAGTGACACGGGGACCTTTTGTTCTCTTCCGTTTTTTCTTCTACTTCCTTCATATTCTTCTTATGCATGCTGTTTTATGTCCTCCATGAATCTTGGATTTCTATTCTGTTCGATGTGGTGTTTTGCAAACGCTGAGCTTAAGTTTATCAACAAACAATTACAGGATTTACGCCCTGTCAGACAATAAGTCACTATTTGACAGCTAAAATAGACTTTAACACCTTATAGCTCAATGAAGAGATACTATTCCCACAAACATACTCACACACATACATCCATATGTGTATGTGTCAATGTGTGTGTGTTTCTTTTTCGAAAGAAAATGTGATTTTCTATGTGTATTTCTTTGTGTGTGTGTTTACGGGGTATCTATTCGAAGCCGTAGCAGTTATCAGTCAGTCAGTCATTCGGTTATTGTGTAGGTGGTGTTTTGGGGGGGGGTTCCTGCATTGCAAACACAACACATTTCAGCTTAAAAAGAGGAAAACACCAGACATCACTGTCGGTTTGTAAACACAAACAATTTAGGCAACAAAACAAACAGTTCAAATGTTGGTGCCCACCGGGGAAAAGGTGCCTAAATTGGGTGGTACACAAAGGTTCGGGAAATGGAAGAAAATTCAAGATTCATCTCTCAGACAGAGTTAAAATCGATCAAAGAGTTACAGAATTTCTTCTACCTACAGAAACTTATAGAATGTATATAGCAGATATACAGACGGTCTTATGTCTGAGGAGTTCAAGAGGAGGCTTTCTGTCAATAGAAGACCCACAGAAGGTATATTGCATACAGAAGACCTACAAAAGATACTTTGGGTACAAAAGATCTTCCGAAGGTCTTGTGTTTGTAGCAGATCTACAGAAGTTTTTTTTTTTGTTTTGGCTACGGAAGACCAACAGAGGGCTTTTTATCTAAGGAAGACAGAATCGTTCTGACTACGTAAGCTCTTCTGTCTATAGAAGACCCACATAAGGTATATTGGTATATCTATAGAAGAAGTCTTCCGTTTATAGAAAGAAGACCTACGAAGGGTCTGCTGGCTATACAAGACCTACAGAAGTTCTTCTGCCTATAGAAGACCTATATAATGTCTTCTGCCAATAGAAGATCTAGAGGAGTTCTTCTGCCTATAGAAGACCTATATAATGTCTTCTGCCAATAGAAGATCTAGAGAAGTTCTTCTCTCAATAGAAGAGCTACAGAAGGTCTTCTGTTTATAAAATACCTACAGAAGGTATTCTGTTTATGGAAAAACTAAAAAAGAGGGGTTATAGAATACCTACAGACGCTCTTCTGTCTATAGAAGACCCATAAAAAAAGTTTTCTAAAAAAGTCTTCTACTTTTAAAACACCTTCAGAAGGTCTTCTCTCAATAGAAGACCTACAGAAGGTCTTCTGTTTATAAAAGAACTACAGAAGGTCGTTGGCTGCGGAATACCTATTGAAGGTCATCTACTCTGCAGTAGATGACCATTGGAGTCATCTATTCTACAGTAGATGGCCATTGAGGTCATTTACTCTAGAGTAGATGGCCATTGAGGTCATCTACACTACAGTAGATGGCCATTGAGGTCATCTACACTACAGTATATGGCCATTGAGGTCATCTACACTACAGTAGATGGCTATTGAGGTCATCTACTCTACAGTAGATGACCATTGAGGTCATCTACTCAACAGTAGATGGCCATTGAGGTCATCTACTCAACAGTAGATGTCCGTTGAGGTCACCTACTCTACACTACAGTAGATGGGCATTGAGGTCATCTACCCTACAGTAGATGTCGGTTTAGGTAATCTACTCTACAGTAGATGTCCGTTGAGTCACCTACTCTACAGTAGACGTCCGTCGAAATCAACTACTCTACAGTAGATGACAATTGAGGTCAACTATTCTACAGTAGATGGGCATTGAGGTCATATGCTCTACAACAGATGGCCATTGAGGTCATCTACTCTACAGTGGATGGCCATTGAGGTCACCTACTCTACAGTAGAGGGATATTGAGGTAATTTTACTCTACAGCATTGAGGACATCTGCCCCATTTACCCTTCCAATGAGGGCAGATTCAGACATAACTTCTCATTTTCTAAACTTCTATTTGTGTGTTGACCAATCCACCCTCGTTAATTTTGTGTTCGCTTTCGTGTTACTTTCATCCTCACATCGACACAACCGTTTCTTCGGCCATTTTTGCTGTTTGGCCAGCAAGTTAAGATACTCATTTGGCTAAATGGTCTCTGCTGTATGAAAGGCTGGATGGATTGCTGGATGGTTGGTCGTGCGAATTTTGTTTGCTCGGTACTTTGTTATTTCAACCAGTCCATGATGTGCGGTGCTGGTGCATCATTGGAGGAGAACAGAATCAAGCTGTCGGTGTTGTGGTTGATTCTTGATTGTGCTTGTTAGAGTTCTATTCTATGTTCGCCAACCTGCCTAGCTGGCTGGCCTTCCTTTCGCATGGCCAGAGGAATTCTTCTCTTCCTACGAAAACAGCAGAAACAGGCAGGCAGGTGTTATTGGGAAAACTTACATGATTGACAGCATCGGGATACTTTTGAGTCTCTAGACAAAAGGCAGCATGTTTAGTGTATTGGGCGCCATTCTTGCCATAAATGGGGGTCTGTAAAGATAGAGAAAGAAAGGAGAGAAAGGCAATGTGAGAGGAAGAGTGTTACAAATTTAATTGCTGTTTCGAAAATGTTCGATCGATACAACTTTTTAGATTTCCGCAAAATTAATTCGCATTAAATATGAAAATGCCAAAAATGTCAGAATTTGTGTAGCGCTTAATGTTATGGCCAATCTCTGGGGATCAATGAATTATAAATTTCATTTTTAATTGGAAACAGATTAAGGTAAAACTTTTCTGCTTTGGTATGACGGCTATAATGTGGGAGTGATATTTTAGGTAATTACAGGGGATACGTTTTTGACGTAACCGATGGTAATGGGGCATTAATGGGGCATTTTATTTGCGTTTATTTGTTGTTTGGTTTGCTGAGAATGTTGGGCAAATAATGATTTATACGTTCAAAGATTGTTCACGGTTATGCGATTCGTTTTTAAAATGAAATTTAATATTTTAATTAATATTAATTTAATTGTAATTTTTCGAATGAAAAATTTGATATTGAAATTAATGTTAATTTTATTACAATTATGTTTTTTTTTGTTTATTTTTCAAATTAAAAAATAACAGAAAATTTTAATACAGCTAAATTAAAATTTAGCAGTTGCATTAACTCGTTACTAGATGATGGTATTGCTTTTACTTATCTACGAAGTGTGTAAGTGAATTTTTATGATGTAAATCTACACATAACAAAATTACAATGAGCAAAAAAATAATTACGGAAAAAAACCCCAGTTGATGTGAAAGTAGAGCTAAAATAAATAGACACATGTGACGGTGTTTTCAAAGTTTACGTCCAAATTTTTGAAATCAAATTTAGAAAAAAAATTGCAAATTTTCGAATTAAAATTTCTTGAAATCCTTGTATTTTTGGTAGATTCTTTGGCCACATTACCGATAACTGCGGAACTTATTTTGGTTGAAAATTTTAACTCTCGAGCTAGTCACCGAATTGACCTTTCTATTTCTTAAAAATGTTTTTTTATGAGTCTTCATAGGATTTTTTATACCCTACACCAAAAGGTGGTCAGGGTATTATGTCTTTGTGCATTTGTTTGCAGCAGGCACAAGGAAACGAGATAGACCCATAGTTCCTTTTGATGATCTGCATAGATTCACATTCTGAGTCGATTTATGCATGTCCGTCCGTCTGTCCTTGTATTTCTGTAAACAAAGTACAGCTCGCATTTATTGCCTTATGCAGATGAAATTTTGCACAAATCATTTGTTTGGCCCAAGGACGAACCCTGTTGAAATTGGAGTTAATCGATCAAAATTTAGATAAAGCTCCCATATATCTTTGTCCGATTTATCATTTATTGTGCACCAAACGTGTAATATCAGTCCGAATAGTATGGAATTTTACACATACAACCAAATTAGGCCTGCAAATAAGTATGCCAAATTTTATCGAAATCGGTTCAGATATAGCTATAGCTCACATATATATTGTTCATCCGATTTGTTATTTTTGTCCTCCGCAGCCGTAATATGCACTCTGCAACAAAAATATTTGGGGAAATATATCAAATACAGCTCAGAAATACATTTGCTAAATTTTATCGAGATCGGTTCAGATTTAGATATAGCCCCCATATATAACTTCGTCCGATTTACCTTTGATTGTGCACCAAACGTCTAATATTTGCGCAAATGGGATGAAATTTGGCACATACGACGAATTTAGTCTATAAGCTAGTATGTCAAATTTGGTGAAGATCGGTTCAGATATAGCTATAGCTCCCATATATACTGTTCATTCGATTTGTCATATTTGTTACCCACAGCCGTAATGTGTACTCCGTAACATCGATATTCAGGGAAATATATCAAATACAGCTCAGAAATATCTTTGCCAAATTTTATGGAGGTCGGTTCCGATTTGTATATATCTCCCATATATATTTTTATCCGATTTCAAATTAATTGTGCTTCAAGTGGGCAATACAAGTCCGAATTTAAAAGATACAAATGCTTCGGCATATTTAGTCCTTTGAACTTTAAATTATAATTATAATCATAGTGTGTATTATTGAATTCCCCCATAAATACTTTTAATTGTTATGTGGAGCTCTACTAAATTAGCAAAGTTGTGTAGGGTATCATAAAGTCGGGCGCGGCCGCGACTTTCTTTACTGGTTTTAATTCCTTTTAATCGGGATTGTAGCAAGTCAAAATATTCCACAAATTCATATTTCTTAAAATTCTACTATAGGTCCCAGAATACATCAAAATCTAAATCTTGCCTTAACGCCAGGAATTCATTAATAATGTATTAGGAGTTAAACCCGAAATTCATGTGAGTATATGCAAATATCTGCAACAAAGCATAATTTTAGAAAATATTATTCATCAAAAGTCACAATAACCCACCAAAGAAAAGAAATACCTATTTCCATTCAATACTAAAAGAAATATTTGATTCAACTCGAAAATATTTTCTAGTTTTTTTTTTAACGAATTTTTTCCTATCCCTTTTTAGAATTGTTGTCTGAATGTAATATAAAATATCGTGTGAGGTTTCGAAAGGATAGATATTCTACGCAAAATTACACTATAAATCTCTAAATAAATCATATACCTAATTTAAGTAGTTTTTATACCCTACACCACATAGTGGTAAGGGTATTATGTGCATTTATTTGTAAAATGAAGAAGGAAGCAAGATAGACCCACAGCTACTTTTGAGGATCTTCATAGAATCACTTTCCGAGTCGATTTATGCCAGTCAGTCCGTTCGTCTGTCCATGTACAGGGTGAGATGAAAAAAACTGCAATCAATTTCAGACAGCTATCATTTCTAAGCCCCTCTTCCCGACAGCTGTTAAAATTATTCCAGTGACAGCTCATTATATTGCTTACAAGCGTACAAAAGCATTTTGGTGAGAATTTCCCAGAGTAAAAGTTATTCGTGATGGAATTCAAGCGCGATAGTGTGATTTCTTTATATTTGACTGGAAAACCACAAGTGGTTATCGTTAGAGCACTCCAGCATTTAAATGTGAATAAATCTTTTGTGTCTCGTACCATAGCTCGTTACCAAGATACTGATAGCGTAGCCCGACGTCAAGGAAGTGGACGGAAGAAACAGCAACATCAGCAGAAATGTTTCGAAAAGTAAGGAAGCGACTTGATCAAAACCCGCGTCACAGTGGCCGAAAAATGTCTCGTGAGCTGAACATATCGCAATATTCCATTCGGAAAATATTGAAAAATGAGCTCGGTGTAAAGCCATTGAAATTCCAAAAAGTTCAAGAACTTACACCGCAACAGGAAGAAAATAGCCTCAAAAGAGCTAAAGAGTTGCTTCGCTTGGCCGAAAGTGGTAAACTGCCGAATTAGGGTTTCTCGGAAGAGTCTGTAAACAAACAAAATGATCGTATTTACTTTCCAAAGAAGTCAGGTCAGCTGAAAAAGTGCACCTACGGTTGGCCACCAGAACTGCCGCCGGCCATGGTGATGGTGTGGGCCGCCATAATGGCCGATGGTCGATCTGCGCTCGTATTAACCGACCCTGCCGAATATTATCGCGAAAATATTGTGGAGGGTGTTTTAAAGCCTTGGGCACACAAATATTTTGCATTCCAACAGGACTCAGCACCATCGCACTCAGCACGCGCTATCCAAGAATGGTTACAAAATGCGGTAACCGCAATGAGCGCACAATGGCCACCAAAATCTCCGGGTACCAATCCGTTGGACTATGTGTCTGGAGTATTTTGGAAAGCAAAGTTGGCACTAAAAAATACCAAAGTTTCGATCACCTCAAGCAAGCGCTTCGCCGAGAATGGGCCAAAATACCGCAGAGCAACATTTGGGCAGCGTGTGACGGCTTCATTGGCCGTTTGAAAGCCATAATTCGTGCCAAAGTTGACCAATTCGAATAAATCTCAACTTATTCCAAAATTTGATGCTGTTTCCGATATCTTTGCTTACTTTAAATAAAATTAAAAAAAAAAATGTCAAAATTATGGAGTTTGTCTCTCTTGCAGTTTTTTATCTCACCCTGTACATTTCGGAGTTACAAGCGGAGTGACAAAGCCTATTTTAAAATAACAACATTTCTGCGAATATTATATTTAGATCTGAAAATACTTATTTTTTCTTGTAAAGCGTTTTATTATCATTTGTTGTAAATTTAAAAAAAAATCCTAAAACATTTACTTCGAGTCTTAAAAAAATAAAGACTTTACACCTTTTGCAACACCAAAAATAATGTTGCAACCTTTCTCTGCCCATTCAAGCAATTAGCCAGCGGCTTCTAATGTCAAAATATACAATGGCAGCAGCAACAACAGCAGCAGCAGAAGTACAACCACAAAAAAGGTAAAATAAAATTCCATAGAAATTATTTTCAATTGTCGGAGACGTTATATTCCAAGAAACTCTTTTCTTTTGTTTGTCCGATTCCATTGAATTGCACAACAAAACGTAACCAGATGCTCTAAACGGAAAGTTAATTATATAATTGCCATTGTGATTGTGCACACAGGGCAGCTCTAAATGCCAATGAAATTGTGAAAATTAACTTTTTGAAGATTTAAAACAATAATGCGAAGAGGATGTAATGAATGCATGCAAGGATGTGGGATTGACCTTGGGGGGAGATTTTGCGATGACATTTATGGTAAATTATTTTTGGATTGAATTTTTAGGCTGAGAGACATATTATTTTTAATGTCGAAAATAATGTATGAAAAATCAGGAATATAAGAGAGCATTTGGTTAAATAACTTGAAATGCTTTTATTATTGAAAAAAAAAATAATGGTTCTCAATCTCGAAGAATCTCTATAAAATTATTCGGTGGACACTAGAGGTAAAACTCTGCAACAAAGTCAAACGCATAATTTTTACATGTATTTTTTTTTTAATTTTATTGAATGTCGGAAAAAAAAATGTCGGAAATAGCATCAAATTTTAGAATAAGTTTATATTTGTTCGGTCAATGAAACTGTCACATGCTGCCCGAATATTGTTCTGCGGTAT